TTATAATAGTTTTTTGTTTCTTCTCCTGTATTTATAATCTATATTTATTTATTTAAATTTAGTTATACAAAAAATATAAAGGACACCTTAAGACGTTTTCTACCATTTAACCTATGAGCAGAGAACACTACTTTGGAGATGCAATAATATTTCGACGGTTTCGTGGCGTAGTAACTTAGAAATGAGTTGTAGCGCTAGGAGCCGCGGATTCGAATCCTGCGTTGAATAAGTATTTATATGACTTACAAATAATTCTTCCGGATCTGAATGGTTCTCTTTGTGCAATTTTTGTTTGTAAACTACCTCTATGATAAATCCCAGTGTGGAAGCTACGTTTTCTTTACTAACATAGAAACAATTAATAAAATTTATGAAGGAAATAAAGCGTGTACAGCTTCACAGTTTAAAAAATCTTCTCTTAAACCACAATAAGCACAATAGCAGCTAAAAGCTTCTGTTTTCGTGTTGTGTGCGTAAAGACCCTTTTTACTGAAAACGAGGCATTCAGTTTTAATCAGTGGTGAAAACTCACAGTATCTTAATTCTCAATCGATAATAGTTGTAGTGTTTAAAGACCACAGCATCTACTTACCACGAGTTGCACCGTGTGCTCGTATGTCACCCTCATGTTTTATAACAAAAACCAATTACATTTGAAACTCAAATAAAATTTTGCTCGCTTAAAGATTAGATTCTAAACATAAAATAAAATACTATTGTTTTGCTTTCTTGGTTTACGAGATACACCGCGGGGAGTACGACTGTATGATAATTTAAGTTTTTAGGTTTAAAAAAAGTTAACTCCACACTAGGAAGTTCTCCTGTATCGTGAAGGCAGTTCACATACATAAATTGCACAACGAAAAACTATACAGACCCGGAACAATTATTTGTAAGCCATACGTGTGTACGTGCGGGATTCGAACCTGCGGCGCTTGACTCTGCAATTGATTGCTAAGCCACTGCGCCGCAGAGCCGTCAATGATAGAAAATATAAAGAAACTAATGATAGATAGAGCCTTGTGTGATAGAATGTATAAATAATGATCGCTATGAACACCCGATTGATTCACAATACGCGAGTAGTCCGGTATCGATCCCCGCCGAGAACAAATTAAATTATTAATTGCAATTGTAATAACATGTGTTCATTATTGGATTTGCCTGTATGTTGATGATAATAATGAAAGCTCTAAGATCTCCGATAATTCTCCATAAGGTAAATCGATTAAAATATAATTTATCTTTCAATACAAATCAATTATTTGGGATTGCAAATGTAATCCCAGGTATTCAACAAATTGCGTTTATAGCTCCAAATTTTACGGTCACATCCGAGCGTAAATGCCGGATCTACATGTACCATCCAACTCTCAAAATGTTTAATATGTAGATGTGTGTGATTAAATCACGCGTGTTGGATGGTTTGACGATGTTGTTAGACAATTTTCAGTTTATAAATTGATATCACATTTGACCAACATACGAGTACACGAACCGGTTCCATAAATATCAAATGTTTTTTTAATGTTTATAACAAGCATCCACTGTGTTTGTGTTGACCAAAGTTTTTTTGAAGTGAAACTTCTTTAGTGTAGTGGTGAAATTTTGCATTGTATTAAAAATAAAAACGACATGTTTTCTTGTAACGTTTGACCGCCGAGGGGGGCATGTGTACACCATTATGTAAACTACTTATATAAAGAAAAATGATATGTCGTTAATTTCTTTTAAGTTTTGTTTAATCGCCTGAGAGGCACTATTTAAAGTTGAAACGAGTCAATTGATCCGATCTTTTATGAAACCGTTCTTGTAGAGCTGACAAAAAGGGTAGATAAACATTGTGAGGCTCTAGTTGTGGTAGTATAATGTTGTTAGGAATTAGGGCAAAAAAATTACGAAAACACTAAGGTTTTATTCGATGAAGTATAAAAATGCACCACAAAAACAAACAAACACACACACACACACACACACACACACACACACACACACACACACACACACACACACACACACACACACACACACACACAAACGCACGCACGCACGCACGCTCGCACGCACGCATGTACGCACGCACGCACGCACGCACGCACGCACGCACGTACACACGCACGCATGCACGCACGCATGCTCGCACGTAGGCACGCACGCACGCACGCACGCATACACGCACGCATGCACGCACGCAAGCACGCACGCACGCACGCACGCACGTACACACGCACGCATGCACGCACGAAGGCTCGCACGCAGGCACGCACGCACGCACGCACGCATACACGCACGCACGCGCGCACTCACACACACACACACACACACACACACACAGACACACACACACACACACACACACACACACACACAAACACACACACACACACGCGCGCGCGCACGTGTGTGTGTGTGTACACAATAAATTAATCATTTATTAATAATTATATCATATAATTATATTAATAATAATTATAATTATTTATTATCATTTTTGTGCTGCATCTCAGCCTTATATCATCACGGACTGACATGCTCCATCGGAGCCTTTTATTATTATACACTCAAATTTTTTTCATGTAATGTGATGAGAGTTTCTGATGGTGTTGATTTTTTATTGTCTTATAAAAAACATATGAGATAAAAAATAAAACCACACGTACAAAAAATTCGTTTTAGTTAAAGGTTTGGACGACAGTGTAAAGCCAGATTATAGTAGATTATACAGTGCAAGTCATAGAGTATTTAGCCTAAGTGCTAAGGGGGCTTTTTATTCAAGTGAATTCAACAAAGAAGGAATAAAAATTCTAATAACAATAACCATTAAAGTAGAAATCAGGTGTTTTAAAAGGAACTAGGTAAATCCAGCTTATCCTATATAACATTATGCTTAAACAAACGTAGGTACAGAATAATTTTATTCCTCGCCTGGCGTGTTTGCCTCGATTTATTGACTTTTTTTAACATACATACCCCTAAAAATGATATCTTTTTAATTTACCATCCAATAAAACATACATCCAATATAAGTTATATGTATTTTTTTATTTGATCATGGATAGGTAAGGTTATACTTTTGCCAGTGTCAAGTAATAAGAAATTATCCTTAATAATATTTTGTTTCAACAATTTCTTCACAATATGTTGATGTCTTACATTGTGAATAAGAAGTTTTTGTTAGGTTTATATAAGCATCAGAGCCATTTTTTCGCAGTATCCACTAATAGCGTTCACGCGTGAACGCGTAATATGAAAAATTGTATCACTTTTACGTATTAAAATTCACTTAAAATCATGATTTAAAGGACAAAATTTGCGGTCAACTTCTCGCCAACACTTCAAATAATTCAGTTATATTAATACGTGGTATATATTGTTTACGTGGTAGAACCATGCTGCAGCTGCATTATAATTGTAGCACAAATGGGTCGGCTAGATCGGGGAAGGACCAGGCTCTCATGTGAGAGCCTGGTCCTTCCCCGATTATTATGTAATACCGGCATGAAATAGCAACTCAATGCCGCTTTGTTTCATATGGTAAGTGTAGAGAACTGGAGACGCTTTTAACTTTATATGAGACATTCTATCTTAGTCCTCAAGGTTGACAACGCATCTGTATTTTGAATCTTAATCGAGGATAGATGTAGATGTCTATAGGTCACAGCTAGAACATTACGAAATCAACAAAATTTACCGCTTAGGTACTAAAAATAGAGAAATTAACAAACCAAGGCCGGTACTATGTTCGTTTATAAACAATTGGAAAAAGAATGAAATTATTAAAAATAAAAAAGAACCTGAATAAAATTAATATCAGTGAAGATTACTCAAAGGAAGTTTTGGAAAAGCGGAAAACGTTACAAGCCAAGCTAGCTGAAGAAAGGAAAAAAGGCAATTTTGCGTATTTGAAATATGATAAACTAATCGTTAAAGAGAATCAAAAGAGCCATGATAAACGAAAAAGAGAATCATCTACCTCACTCACTGCTGATCACCCCTTATCACCCATTAACCAACCCAAAAAACAACAGATTGTAGCTTCAATCAAAGCAAACAGGACGAATGTTTTCGATATGATGCGGGGTCGGTCCAACTCTTTTTCAAATATATCTACTACAGGAAAACAATAACAATTAAAAATCGGCAAACGGAAACCAAAACCAACCGAAGAAACTGGCACCAATGAAACAAGAACACACCAACCTCCCCCAAGCCGACTGGTCCTCGTGGGGGAAAGAGACCACAACCCTCCAACAACAAGAGTAACAAATCCATAATCTCTATCACAGCACTCAACGTACTTACCCTGAAAAGTGAAGAAAATCTTACGGAACTCATGTATGCTTTAAAACACATCAAATGGGACATTGTTGGCCTCAGTGAAGTGAGAAGAATGGGTGAAAATATATATCGTATCCAGATTACACATTCTACCATATAGGAGAGACCCCGGGACTCCATGGGGTTGGATTCATTGTTAAAAAAACATATAACAAAACATGTGGAAGGATTTATAGGTATATCGGAGTGGATTGCTATAATGAATTTAAAACTACCTGGATATAAAGATCCTTGGTCAATAGTACAAATATATTCGCCTACTGAACAATCAAGCCTCGATACAATAAATATATTCTACCTTAATCTAAATAATGTGATCCACGAGCACGGTCATAAAAACCTTATAATAAAGGGAGACTGTAATGGTCAACTTGGAGAAAGGCGCCCAGAAGAGAAAAAAGTACTAGGACCTTTCACATACATTAATAAACCCAGAAGTAGAAATGGAGAACATATTACAAACTTCGCACTAGAAAATAACCTCACCATCTTAAACACTACGTTCAGGAAAAATAAGAAAAACATGTGGACCTATATCTCGCCTGACGGCAAAACAAAAAACCAAATTGATTTCATAATGACCAACAGAAACAACTACTTCACTAACTTTTCCGTAATCAAGAAATTGAACTTTAACACTAATCATAAACTAATTAGAACAGAACTAGCATCAAATCAACCAAAGAAACCTAGACCAAGACACGACTTATTTAACACAAAGCTCGGAAAACATCAGTTAGAACAAATAACAATCGCTCTAATAGACAAATTTACAGACTATGAATCTAACACAAAAGAATTTGTAACACGAGGAAGATACAATTGGATAGATAATACCATAACAAATACAACCAATTGGAAATACCAAAACTGAACCGAAAAAATGGCTAACAACGAATACCACAAAACTACTAGAAGCGAGAAACCATTTAATTAGCACTAAAGATACACAGGACAGAAGTAAAATATTTAACGGAAATTAGTAAACAAATTAAAGGTAGCATAAGGAAGGACAGAAAACAAAACAGAATGGAAACTATCAAAACATTTATAAGCAAAACGGGTGGAATCAAAAAAGCATACAGAGAGTTGAGAAATTCGAAGGATTGGATTGTTGAAATGAAAAATGACAGTGGAAAATGGAATCATCGTAGAACAGGTATATTGGATATAGCAACATCTTATTACAAGAGACTGTACGAAAGTAACTCAACAGAAGACGAAATTGATTTGGCGGATACCTCAAACATTCCTAACATTCTTCAAGCTGAAGTCGAGAAAGCCATATATACTCAAAAAGTAGATAAAACACCAGGTCCTGACGGCATAAGCAACGAAATCTTAAGACAAGGAAAGGAAGTGTTAGCACCTGTCCTTACAGATATGTTTAACAATATTATAAACACTGAAATAATTCCCACGCAATGGACAGTATCTAACTTTATCCTGTTGTATAAGAAGGGAGATAAACATGAAACCGGAAACTATCGCCCCATTAGTCTTATGTCAAACATCTACAAAATCTTCGCTAAGATAATTTTAAAACGTATTGAAAGAACGCTAGACGAACAACAACTCATTGAGCAGGCGGGATTTCGTAAGGACTACTCGGTGATCGACCACATCCATGTAGTTCGTCAAGTTATTGAGAAATACAACGAATACCAGCTTACATATTACATTGCTTTTATCGACTAAATCAAAGCATTTGACTCTCTTCTACATAAAAACATATGGGAAGCATTAGTGGAACAAGGGATTGAACTCAAATACATTCGATTAATAAAAAACGTGTACAGTCATAGTACAGCCAGAATCCAGTTAGATAGGAAAAGCCAGCCATTCAAAGTAGGAAAAGGCGTTAGACAGGGCGACCCCCTGTCCCCAAAATTATTCTCGGCTGTACTGGAATCAATTTTCAGAAAACTTAATTGGGAAAATCTTGGGATCAATATAGACGGCACATCACTGACGCATTTAAGATTCGCTGATGACATAGTGCTATTCGCCAAAACACCTGAAGCCATCAATAAAATGATAGAAGACCTATCGATTGAAAGTGAGAGAGTAGGATTAAAACTCAATCCAGAGAAGACTAGCGTGATGACAAATGGAGAGAAAAATATATATAAAAAAAGATAAGAAATACCGAAATCAACTACACTGACGAATACATCTATCTGGGACAACTCATAACCCAAAAATAACCTATGCGCGAGGAAGTGAAGAGAAGAATTACGAACAGCTGGAGCCGATACTGGAGCTTGAGAGAGGCTTTGAAAGACAAACAACTTCATATAAACATCAAAAGCAAACTACTTAACACCTGCGTACTACCCGTCCTTATGTATGGCTGCTAATCATAGACTTTAACTCGTGAAATGACAAACAGGCTAGCAACTTGCCAATATGCTATGGAGAGGAGCATGCTGAATGTCAAAAGATCAGACAGACTGAAAAACTGTGTCATCAGAAATAAAACAAGAACCATAGATGTAGTACGGAAAATTAAAAGACTCAAATGGAGGTGGGCAGGGCACACAATAAGAGGTCATGACAAATAGAGTAAGAAGGTGACAAGATGGTATCCCAGGGAAGGAAAAAGGAAAAGAAGCAGACCGCAGAAAATATGGGACGACGATATAAGAGAAGTGGCAGGAGTGATGTGGAACAGAGTGAAGATCAGAATGGAAGAGGTTGGAGGAGGCCTTTGCCGATTGGCAAACAGATCTACAAAAGATAAAAAAGCAGCAAATATTAGATTAAGTTTTATGTTTGCTTTAGAATATTGTTATTAGGTTAAGTTGATCTGAATAAAGGCTATTATTATTATTATTATTATGGGTCACAGCATACACTTACCATCAAGAGGGCTGTGAGCTCGCTCGTCACCCTTATTCTACAAAAAATAAAGTAAAAACTAGTTTTAATGGTGAATAAACTATTGTAAGAGCTGAAATACAATTTTAGTTCTACAGAAGTTCATGACAGACTGGTTAAAATGCTCCTCGTGTTACTTGGATAGGTTGTTACTTCTTACTGCCACAGAACAACACTGCGTGTATTAATTATTACACTAGCTCACCTAACGCAAGAACAATACTCTCTACAGAAAATACAGCAGTATTAAGCTACTATTTTACGCTAGTATTCTGTGAGGTCCTTCCCCGGTCGAGCCGATCCATTCATTGTCGTGAAGCGACAATTAAAAACAAAAGAACCTAACCTAACAACAACGAAACAACAAAAAAACGAATAATTTATTTAAAATTTTAAAAGATATTTACAGTTTTTTATATAAAAAAATGAAGATGATGATGGGTGACGTGAATTACAATTATTTTTTTAAAATAACAAAGATAAATGAGTACTGAAACGGAGCCCGAAGACCAAGGTGGCACACCGCGCTTGGCAGTGGTGCTCACCGCTCACGGAGTATGCACAGGCTATGCCTGTGGTAAGTGCGCAGCGCCTGATCTAGGCACACGCAGCGTCTGGAGTAGGCACACGCAGCGTTTGAAGTAGGCACACACAGCGCCCGGAGTAGGCACAACAGGCCCCGGAGTAGCCACACAGCGCCCACAGCCAAAGGACACACAGGGGACAATTACTATACTCAGAAATTGTTAAATTTAGTTCAGAAATAAATTAACATCAATATCTCAACTGACTCCCGACCTCTTACTTCAGTTATTCCGCCTGGCGCCGTGTTGCTGCTCCTCATTGTGCAGTAATGACCAGTTGCTGCTATTGTTAATCATGTATTTATTTCTTTACTGACATTTGTACTAAAGATACAAACGGCGGACTTAATGCTATAAGGCATTTGCTTCCAGCCAACCAGAAAGTTAGGGGGAGAAGTGTGTATTGCATGTAATACCCATTGAAATCTTTAACATAAAAGTAAAGATATAACCTATATATGTCACACTGTTATGCCTCTACACTTATCTAAAAAAGGTGTGGTTTTTCGTATTTTGACCACACAATTTAATAAAAAAGTAAAATCCTTATTTTTATTAACAAAATGATCTTACTAACAGTGGCAGGCGTCTTCTATTTAACTAAAAATAGCCTAAGTCAGGAGACACCCACTCTTCCTTAGCTTTTATATGTCAAATACATTACATTCTTTTGTATAATTTTTCACAGAAATTCACTTTATAATGTAGACAAGGAATTAAAGGACTAAACAGATTTATAATCATGCTTTAAAGTTGCCATAGTTAGATACAACTATAATTATTCGAAACTTTCCCATTTCTTCCAGAAATTCGGCATGTAATTAGGTACTAATGGTTATTAGTGATTATTTTCTAGATTTCTTGTAATTTCCTATGGATATGGAATAATTCAATAATCCGGTCTATATGCAGTAATATAATAAATCTATGGTAAATCTAGCACACAGGTGGATTGTACGGTTTTTTTATAGAATAAAGGTGACAAACAAGCACGCAGTCCCTGTGATGGTAAAAGGATGCTGTGGGCCATAGAAATCTACATTTAGTTTTTTTATTTTTATACTAGGCGCGTCAACTATGTCAAAATGCATCCTGTGAGGCAATCTGTGGAGGAGGCCTATATTCAGCAGTGGACTTTTACAGCTTGTAATGGATGGATGTTCAAGGCATATTAATATATATAGCCTACACTACACAAGGTGGTCGGACTCATATCCGGCCTAGGAGTCCGTCTATGTAGGTGCCACACTGTTATATATGTGTGCCGCTAGATGGCAGTGCTCGCACTACTGAGCTCCGGTCTGAAGGGTGTGGAGAGCCGAAGTAAGCACAGGCTGCGAGGGAGTATCATCTCAGTCCTTAGAGGTCACAACATATCTTTAGACTTATTTACTTGAAGTTGGTTTCAGGCGTCCGTGGACTTCAGCAGCTGACTGTCAGGTGTAAGCTCGTTGGTCACTGCAGGTTTATAAAGAAGCTCCCATCCTCCTCCACATAAACAATGATATTGAACAAAATTTATTTCAGTAAAAACTAAATACGTCACAGAGTCTCACTCCTCGGAATAAAGTATCAATTTCGGTAATAAAAGAGGAAAATACTTGGCGACACGCCAAGCTCTTAGCAGATAGCTAATATCGGCTTGTTGAAACAGATGTACCAATAAGCTGTAGCTCGCCAAATGAACTGTATTTATGCTCGGGGGATTTACTCAAGTTGAAATTATTTTCTGCAGCAGCTTTTCCAGTGTCCATTTAAGGTCGTTCTATCTTGTGTTTTTTTTTTCAAAGGTTAATTTACATGAAGACACTATAATAGTTGAACTGTGTTAATATTTTAGTCGACTTCAAATGAATGAGGGAGTTCTTAATTCAACTATTTTTTATTTTCTATTTTTAATTCTCTTTTTAAATGAGGTATACTTCAGGGGTGATCCATTACTCATTTATGGAAAATCTCATTCCATTATGCTCATTCTCGTCACGCTGGAAAAATAGTATTTGTGTTAGGGAATCTATTCACATAGATAAAAATATGAATTTCAGTTAAAAGTAAAAACCGACTTCACAGAACTAAAAAGACTAAAATAATTTCTACTTAATAGCTTCTGAAATCGGGTCGTTTTATACAATAAGGGTGGCAAACGTGCACACAGTCCACTTGATTTTAAGTGGATGCCGTGCCTCATAGACGTCTACGTCTATTCTCAGTTAAGAAATAAACGTAGCTTAAAATCGGGTGTAAATGTAAGAATATAAAAAATAGGAAATTTTACAGTTTTAAATTTGTTCGTTTTAAAAACGTAGAATATTATGACGTAGTATATTTTTTATACATAAACTTGTTTCTTCAAACAGTTACAAGTTAACTTGATAAAACATACACATTTAGTTTCAAGTAAACCTTCTTT